ATAGAATTGGAAATTTTTGTTTTTTGAGGCTTTCTTTTAGAAATATGTTCTAATTTTTTGTGTTTTGTTACCATTGCTAACGTTGGAAAATATTTATCACATACAGTACAGCAAAGGCAGGTGTGCTGCTCCGATAAAATAGAAGGACAATGAGCATCATAAAGTAGCAATTTTAATTTGTCAGCATATTGTAGAATATGAACTGGATTGAGAAAATGCCCATCTTGATCTTTTGAAACTGGTGGTAAAAATCCATTATTTTCAGCAAGAAAAGCAGCTGACTCTTCATGTTTTTTAGGATTACAGCAGGAAACATTGTTACATTTTTTAATATCAAGGATATATCGGCAAATTTGGGTGTGATTTTCTATCCACTTCCAAGAAACTTCGGATTCTTCTATTTCTTTTTCATTTGCTTGCTGATATGTATTTAAAAATGGAAAAATATTATCCTCAACATATTGGATTAATACTGATTTTCCAAAGATCTGATCTCAATTCCAAAGAGTACACAAAGCTTCTCTGGCATGACGAAAATTTTTCTTTGCAAGTTCTGAATCTCTAACCTTTTCTTGACTATTCAAATGAGAACCAAATGTATCAATTGGTAAAGTTATGCCAGCCAACTTTTCAGAAAGAGTACACATACTTCTTTCAACGGGATTATATACTGATTGACCAGGGGCATATGTTCTTATTATTAAATAATCAAGATCAAGAAGTTGGAATAATTTACAATATTCATATATATTTTTTAGATGTTGAGGATTTTCATTCAGCCCTCCATCAATAAGAAGAACCCAAATTGGTTTAATTTGATCATTATTTTTAAAAATACTAGCAAATGATTCTTGATGAGTGAGTGAAATTAAATCTACCATATGTGTATTTGCATTTGTATATACATTATATTGTGGACAAACAAAAATACCTAATTGACCATGACTGAATGTATCATTAGAATTTGAAGGATCAATAGTAAGGTAAACAGATGGAATCAATTTCTGTTGAGCTCCAGTTGGAAAATTATGATCTGCAACTGAAACAGCTTCTTGAATTGATTGTATTGTTTGAAATATTTTACCAATAACAGGAATACCAAGAGGGACTTTCGCTTTATCATCTTGTGAAATAATGACAGAATGAGAAGAAAATAATGCAGTAAATTGATTTGCTTTTTTAACAGAAGCAAGACAATAGTGCTTATCAATATGTTCTTTTTTTTCCATTCTAGAAACACCTGCTACTGCTACTAATACAGGATGATGATGTGCTTTTGCAGCAAAGCTTGAAGAATTTTGCGGTAAAAGGTATGTATTTAATGTTGTCTTTGCAAGATATTCATTATATTTTTCCTTTAATGCAGAACGAAGATGATGAATTGTTCTTACTTTAATTACTTCTCGTCTTCATTTTTCATGTGCCTTTCCAAATTCAATGCAATCATGAATATGTTTATGAAGATCAGGATATGTGTGAAGAATAGATGGTCGACCAAGTGAGTCATATTTCACTATTTCTTGATTTTCATGTAGTAATTTTAATTTTTTTGCTGCTGATTTTGCTTGATAGGCTGCGTTTCGTTTTAATGTTTTAATTTTTTTAGTTTCATCAGCTATTACTTTTTCAGTTGATACAATTCGTTGTAAAATATCATGCTTTAATTCTGGATCTTTTGTTATTTTGTAGGATTCTTGTAAATTAAGTAATTTCGTAGCCATTTCTCTTTTATTAGCAAGAGCTTTTTTCTGTGCTGCAGCATTTTTAGGCACTTCTTTTTCAATAACAATCATATCTCATCTTGTAAAATTTGATGGCTGAGGATCGGGTGATTGTAGAGTATAAGAAGAACGTGATTATATAAAATCTTGCAAATGCAAAGGAATGGGTATAGCAAGATAAGTTTTGATTTGATCTTTAATTTCTTCTTCTGAATTTTTTTTAATTTCTTTCCATATTTTTGTAGATTCTACACAAAGGTCTGATTTTTTATATGTAGGATTTCCGGTCTTTACCATGCAATAATAGGCATATGCATTTGTAAACTGCTGATGCAATGTAGTTGGATTTATATAAATGTAGTTTTTGTTATATTTTGGTGTAGTGAGAAATTTTTGCATTTTGAAGCCAAGTAAAAATAAGACACTATATATGAAAAAAGTTTTGCTCTTTTACTTTTTATTAAACGATTTATTAATCGAGTCAAAAAAATTAAGGCATAGTATACGAAAGACAAAGATAAAAGATGCAGAAAGATAAAAGATGCAGAAGAATGCCATAACGTGAAAATTTAATATAATTAAAATAAAATACTATATATGAAAAAAAGTTTTGCTTTTTTACTTTTTGTTAAATGATTTATTGATTGAGTCAAAAAATTAAGGCGCAGTATCTGAAAGGCGCAGTGTACGAAGACAGAAGATAAAGACGCAGAAAGATAAAAGGTGTAGAATAATGCGTAATGCAAAAATTTAATATAATTTTATAATAATCTCTTATGTAACATATCGGTTATCTTATGAGAGAGGGGTGATTTCTCCTATAATAAATAGATATCAGCTAATATCTGTCTCAGCCCTAAACTAATAGATAAATTCAAGATAAAACACCTTCTTCTGACTTCTTACCATTTCTAAACAAATGGTTTAGTAGAAAAATTTAATAGAAATTTATGTGAACTTTTAATTAAAACTGCTCAAGAAATTTTAAATTAGGATTTGCAAATTCCATTTACTTTATTTGTATATATAACTTTCAAATTATTTACAATAAAGATATCTTCTTTTTATCTAATATATAAAAGGAATGAACAATTATTCCTGAATGAAATAATTGAAGAAAATGTAACTTTAAATTAATATATAGAATCATTAGTAAATAATCTATTACAAATTAGGAGAAAAGCATATAAAAAAATCACAAGTAAATCAGAAGGATTAACATGATTGCAGTTTAAAAAAAGATTTATTATTTTAAATAGAAAACAAAGTTTTGTATTACTATATGGCAAAAGAAAAGCAATAGTCTGAAAAATTTAGAATTAAAATGGAAAGGACTATACTATATTCATTAAATTTTACTAAATGGATTTTACAAAATAAGGGAAAGTTTTGCAAATTCCTGTTAATGAAGATCTTTTAAAATAATATCATGATCAATAAAGTTAAAAACCTCAAATAGTTATATAGTTTATTTATTATTTTTTTTTATTTTTTTTTACTATGTCTTTGAAAGATTTTAAAGTTGATTTGAAAAAAAATATTTTTAATAATACCTTCTTATTACACCTTCTTATACAAAAAATATGAAACTGAAAAAAAAATTTGAAATAACTTATTAAATGTTAAAGAGAGTTTTAATCTTTAAAAATCATGTATTAATAATAATAAATGTCTTTTACTTAGAAGATTTATTAGAAAAGAAATTTCTACTCCAACCTAATATACTTATTTTAACTAAATATTATTATATAATATCAATATGAACTTATTATATCTTTGAGTTTTTGAGAGTAAAACAAATTCAGCAGACTCGATATATAAGTCTTTCTAAAATTTACTCTTTAAAAAGAATGATTATTAATTCTTAATAAATGAAATTATGTTGATTTGATTCAGAAACTAAAGTTTAGGAAAGGAAATTGAAATGGCAAAAACTAATAAACCTAACAAATATGATATACAGGGAGGTATAAAAAGTATTGGCTACCCAACGTGATACAAGTGAGGCATGTGTTGTCACGTTCCTTCTAAATTAAGCTGCAGTTTTTTTTTATTTTAAGTTACACGTGATTGTTATGTAAATGATCAAAATAAAAAAATTGCCATTGTATAACGTAAAGTTGGTCATATAGTCATACGAAAAAAAACTTTTTTTATTAGTAAAAAAAAATTTACCGCAAGGATGTATTGTGGAAAGGAACTTAGTGAGGGCTAAAAAGGAGCTATTATCGCAGCTAAAAAATTAGAACACACAAATACTAGGATTTCCGCAATCATAAATTGCTCTCATTCCTCTGTTTGACGTATTTGAGAGTTGTACAAGCTAAAAAGCCTTCTAAAGAAACATTTGGGTCGACCACAAATTTTTAACGAAACTGAACGCAAATATCTCAAAAGTTTAGTGGTTAGGAATAAAAAAACCTGTCATCAAACTCTTTCTCAAATATGTTTAAATTTTATAAACGAAACAAACAAACCCATTTCTATACAAACTATTCAAAATGAATTAGCCAAAGAAAATCTCCATTTCTGAATTCCTCGTTTCAGTCCTTTAATTTCTGAAAGTAATAAAGAAAAACATTATTTGTGAGCCCGTACTTACGAAAATTAGACAGTAGAAGTTTTCAAACAAGTTGTCTGGTCAGACGAGAGTACCTACACACAATTTAGAACTTCAGGTTTTGGACGAGTATAGCGCAAAACTTCTAAAGAGTTTCATGAAGACTGCATTGCAGCCACAGTCCAAAAGAGCTTTGGTCGCATGTTCTGGGGGTGTTTTTTCTGGGTTGACTTAGGTCCTTTGGTCCCTTAGAAGGTCGCATTACTGGAATTATGCATCGTGATATTTTGGCTAATTATGCCATTCCTACAGTCAAGTTTCATGCAAAAAATGTCAAAAAAAGGTTTTTTTTTAAGAAGACAACGCGCCTGTGCACACCACAAAAGTTGCACGTTCATTTTTTATATTCTCAAATATTGAGGTGTTTTCCTAGCTGGCCTAAAGCCCCGATATCAACCCAATAGAAAATATATGGTCATATATTAAGGTCAAGATCCGTCAACGAGATTCCCAGCTATCAAGTGTTAGGCAGTTAGAAAAGTGGGTTAAAGAGGAGTGGAATGCAGTACCCGTAGAATATTACCGTAATGCCAAGAATTAATTATTATAAAATTAATGAATTCTTTCTCACAAATTGCTAAGTTAACTTCCGCTCAATTAAACAAAAAAATTGTCCTGTATGTTTGAATTACTAATATTAATAAAAAAGCTAGTTTTGATCAAGTCAATGCTGCGTCAGGTTTAAGCTGTTCTTGCGACTAATGAAGAACTAACGAAATATTAACCTGTATTTGATAAAAATAAAAAAAAATAAAAATAAAGAATTATTAAGTTAGTTATTTCGTAAAACGTTTTACAAAAGTGGCCAATACTTTTTATACCCCCCTATATTTGCTAAATAAAACATATTTTTATTTATATTTTTTTTATTATATTTATTATTATTATTATTTATTTCATTATTAGTAAATCTGTTAATATTATTATTATTATCAATAGTATCATGATTATAATTATTACCATAAATTTTCTTTAATTGTAATTTTCTTATATAAAGGGCATAAAAATATCTTAAAAAAAGTGATCTTAACATTATATTTAAAAATACTTCTAATAATAATAATAAACAATATAATATTTTGCAAATATAAAAACTTATAATTTTATTTTTGTTAATTAAATAAACTTTCTAATTAACATCATGTTAAATTGATTGGATTTAAGTCATAGCTATTGCCTTCTTGACTTCAAATCATAGTTAATTTATTCAACAAACAGAATAACATTAATAATATATAATTAATCAAAATTATATTTTTATATCATCTAAATTCTCATTTTATTATATGCACTTGCTTCTATATTAAATAAGCTATATTTTATTATTATTAATAATTATTATTATATCATATGTATTTATTTGTATATTTATACATTTTTCTTATTTTTTTAATAAAGTTAATTTTATAAAAATATATTATGTCTTTTAATTTAATACATTTAAGAATATTATATATAATTTCTGATATAATTAATGAATATAAAATTTAAATACTATTAAAGTACTAAATTTTTATTTAACTTATTTAGAAATTCCTTTAGAAAATTAGCAAGAAAATTTCAATTGATTCAGATTAATCTAAAAATTTTCTGTTTAGATTGACTTTAGTTTAATTTTAGATTAATAAAAATCAATTTAAAAATTTCAGTTAATTCATTCTAATTAAACAATAAAAATATTATACGATTTGAAATGATCAAAATTATGATTCTAAATAAATGATAAATACATTATTTTGCAAATAAAAAATAATTATAAAACTTAAGAATTACAAAATAATTACAAACCTTTTAAAGAAATTGCAAAATAATTGTAAAATTCATAGAGGATTTCAAAATATTAAAAGTACAATTTTATAAATGAATATTTACAGTGTTGATAATTTCTAAGATAATGAAGTAACAGAAAATCTATTGATAGTTAATTAATCAATTATAGATGTAGTTTCACAATCAATTTTTTTTGTTTTCATAATCCTAATAAAACTGTTTTTATTAATAAATCGTTAGAAATTTCATATCATAGTTAATTGGATATAAATAATGCCTATATTCATTTCAACTACTGTAGTTGCATAACCATTTGTTAAAAATTTAAATTCATAAAATTTTAAATTGATCATTTAATTATAGATAGTCATTTTAAAGTACTTTATAATAATAATAAAAATTTTCTAATAAACTTTAATTATTCAAGATTTTACAACAAATTGCAACAATAAAATCTCAAGGTAAAATCAAAGTATGTATTATATTAATGACATTTCAAAACATGAATAATGGATTTATAATTATCAAACTAGATGTTTTTAAAAATTTTCAATAGTTTCGTAATTTATTGGATAATATTTTGACAAAAAAAAATGAAAATGAAAAGTACTGAGAGTTGTATACTGTAAGTTTATTTTATAATATATAAAATAATTATTTATATAACATCTATTTACTAAAACTTTATAATATGCATGTCTATAAAAGGATTATCGATCAAGATAAAGTTTCTTTGAGACATTATTATTACATTCTTTTTCATCAAATTCATTTATATTCATTTCATCATGATTTCTTTTCAAGTAGTTCTGTTGCAAAATGTTGTTTTCATTTTCTGTCGAAATATGATCATTTTTCTCTCTTTCAAATTCCGTAATTTCGGGAAGTTTTCTTGCTTTTTCAGGAATTTCGTCGATTTGTTTTGTTTTTTCTAAATTGGTGTTGTCAATTTTCATGATTTCATTTGATACTTCTGGAGTTTTACCCATTTGTTTTGTTTGTTCTATATTGTTATCAATTTCTATGAGTTCTTGTGATATCTTTGGAATTTCGTTAATTTTTTTTGCTTGTTCTACATTGGTGTTTTCAATTTTCATGATTTCTTTTGATACTTTTGGAATTTCATCAATCTTTTTTTCTTCTTCTATATTGTCGTTTTCAATTACTATGAGTTCTTTTGTAGATATTGGAGTTTCATCGATTTTATTTGCTTGTTCTATGATTTTGTCTTCTTTCATTTGATCAACATTGATATCCATTATGTCTTGAGATTTCTCTGGAATTATGTCGACTTTTTTAGATTTAGTTTTATTGTTTTCAACCTTCATGATTATTGGAATTTCTTTTGAAACCTCGTCAATATTTTTGGTTTGTTCAACAATGATTTCTTGAAAATCATTTGCAAATTTACTATCATCCTCAATGGTATTCGAATTTACAATCTTTTCATTTTTTTCTTTGTCGGTACATAAAATCGGTAAAGAAAATCCTCTATTAGTCAGCCAATCTCCAGAACGATAGTGAAGATGTAACACAGCAAGGGGGTTTAAATCAATAATTTTTGTTACAGTCGAAGGATGAATTTTCGCATCCATGGCATCAAAATCAGTAGTAAAACCAATATCCTTATTCTTAATATCAGCCGAATCTTTAATCTTCACTTGTTTAACTTCGAATTCTGGTTTATTCTGTAAAGCACTTTCATCAACAATGATACCTTTGAAAAAACAAGCGGTAATAGTACCAGGTTTCCCGTATACATTTTGAATTTGCTTTGTTGAATGTTTTTTAACTGGAAAAGGGACTTTGAAAACACCATCATCTTTTTTATCAAATTGAGATGTGCTGGCGAATTTAAAGAAATAAACTTTATTCCTTTCATGATTAATGAAGTATGATCTTATTCTTGAGGTTTGAAGTTGGTGAAGTAATTGTACTTGATCAAATTGTCCATCTATATATAATCGTGAAATTATAATGTTGGAAGAGTTTGCTTGTTTAGCTTCCGTTCTTATTGTATAACGTTCTCCTGGTGTTATAACTGGAATATATGTTGTAAAGTTGCTTTAAAAGATGAAAAAGAATGAAAAGGTAGAAAATATCAATTAATTTTAATTTTTTTTTTTTATTTTTTTTTATTTTTTTAAGAAAAAAAAAAAAAGTATCTTACCTGCATTTTTTTGTTTGTGACGATGGATCCGTAACATAAGAAAAACATGTACTATTTAACTGTTTATGATGCAAATAATTTATTTTTTTTTTTTTTTAGAGATTAATTTAAAATAAAAAATTTCTCGTTAAAAAAAAAAAAAAAAAGGAAAAAATTTTTTATAAACTTACATCAGATTCATCAACCGAAAGATTGTATTCCGGTAAAGGTTTCCCATTTACCAAAACTTCAAGGGAAAAATCTTGTAAATGCATGATGTTTTCTGTGCATCAATGAAAAATGTTTTTTAAATTAATTTAAAGCATGAAAATTTTGTGATATTCATTTATCCTAAAGAGGATATGATAATAATTTCTAAATTTAGTGAAATAAAACGTTTATGGCTTACCAAATGTAAATTGTAAATTGTAAGATAAAAATGACACAAAAGAGTTTTTTTTTGTGTCGGTTGAAACCTCAAAAAAATGCAAAAGTATCTTAAAGGAAAAAGATCGATACGTTATTAGCAAACAGTAGGGATTTATAAGTTTTTTTGGTCAAGTTTTTTAAGTGGCTCAGATCAATAATTGATTGGCTGAGTAAATGTAGCAAATGTGATCAATCTAACCTTATTCATTATATCCTATCCGCGATAAATGCCCACAGGCACATGATTATTTATTATGCCGCCGATCATTTAATGAAAATGATTGTTCAACATAAACTTTAATTAACACGAATTTGTATACGGTTTCATCGAAACCATACATTGTAACATATTACTAAGGAAGATAAACGTGTCTCTTTGACTATTAAGCTTCATTTAACGAGAACACAAATGTCTCATAGGATAAAGATATAAATGTCCATTCGCAGATGCCTTCAGCCTTATCGCGGAAAATATACTGTATTCATGATCTTGGAAAGATGATCGACATATTTTTGATTATTTTTTTCACACCTTTTGTTGAAACTAATTACATAAATAAATAAAACCAAATATTATTGCTGCGTCACAATCAAATAAGAAAAATTATCACATTAATATTCTTATGTAGTATTATTCGTTGTGAAGATATTAGTGAATCGTTTCACTCAAACTGACGATTTAATTTGATCATTATTTCCGGAAAAAAAAAATGTATGTTACTTGAATGGCTTGATTTTTAATTATTACAGCGAAAAAAAAACTTCAAGTTGATTTGAAATGGTATAGTCAATATTTATTGAAAGAATTTTGCTGATATCATTTTTTTTTTTACAAAATAGAAATGACGGAAATTATTTATCGTTATAGTTATAATATTTTAAGGATCGAGGAATAGTCAAACAAATGAAAAATTTGAAGCAAAAATTTTAATATAATGAACCAAATTTTATAGATTATTTTATTTCAATTATAATTTCTTTTTACATATTACATCTTTGTGTCCCTCCTATAAATACCCATTACATTCCTATATCCATCCATAATTAAAAATTAAAAAATAATATAAATTAGAAATTAATCAAAAAACTAAAAAATTAAATTAAATCTAAGAAAGAATTTAAATCTATATCATATTCTACTCTTCATATCCTAGCTTCCGACTTTGTTCGTTCGAATCTACTCTTCATATCCGTTCCGTTCCGTTCCGACCGTCCGTCCGTTATCCATCCGCTTGAGAATTTTGTATTATAAAAAATTTTCAATTAATAAAAAAATCAAAAAGGTAGACCTTAAAAAAAAAAAATAAATAAATAAAATACACACCAGGAATCCGAGGTCATCCAATGTTAACCGCCCTAAAATTGGTCAGAATGTCACGAGGGACATAACCGGAAACCTTCTCAAGGATCATTAGACCTCGAAAACAAGTCCGACGAATGGGAGTTTCGTATTAGAGAAGTTTTTCACATTAATATATGGTCCCAAAAAAAAAAAAACCTACAAAAAGAAACTTCTGAAAAGAATAGTGATGCATTTTTAAAAAACTCAATAAAAAATACACACCGGGAATAATAAAATACATAAGGGAAGGAAAGTAAAATCTTCGTGAGGTGAGGTGAGAGACGCGTTATTATTAATTTTTATAACTCATCATGATTACAGATTTCTAAAATAAATTATTGAGAGACGCGTTATTATTAATTTTTATAACTCATCATGGTTACAGATTTCTAAAAATAAATTAGGAGAGACGCGTTATTATTAATTTTTATAACTCATCATTGTTACAGATTTCTAAAAATAAATTATTTGAGTGACACGTTATTATTCATATTTTTTTTCACGATCAGAATCGTGTGACTTTGACACCCTAGGATTATGTAATGGAGTTTTCCATATTGGGCCTTTAAACCAACCGTCAAAACACACGAAATGTGTTTCTTTTTATTATTACAATTTTCTTATGTGCGAGATCACTGTTCTAGGTCCAAGTCGTTTGATGAACTATGCGTGTTCGATGTTGGCCACCTTTTTACCCGATAATGACCACTAGCTTTTTAAATATATTTTTAAAGGTCAAAAAAAAACCACTTTCTTGTTTATCTTATTTTGTAAACAATAGTGTAGATGTTCATAATTTTTGGAAAGCAATTATCTAAGAATAGCACACAATTGACCAAGAAAACTTGTCGCCATCCAAGAAAAACATGCTATTATCAAAGAAAATCAGGAAGTAGGTAAACATAGCGTTGTGCTCTTGTGCTTTCTAATCTAGCGAAGAATCGAAATATTAATTAAAAAATTTACCATGCTTTTCTAGACGATCCAATGAAGAACAGAATCTGGTTGAACGAATATCGCCTAAAATGAAAGGTAAATCATTTATTTTTAAAAAAAAACTATTTTCATTTTTGATAATCAAGGAACTAATCATCAATCTCCGATCGTGTGATTCGTTTTCTCATGTTTGAATTCGTCTCGAGTCGTTACTCAATTAAAGAAAAGCTTTGGAAAATATACTATAAATATTTGAGTCGACTAGAGTCGTATTATACAAAAATCGAGCTGGGCAGAGCCATCTTAAGCGGAGTTTTACTTGACCATTCCCTTCTCAATAAATAGATTTCGATAATTTGAAAAGTTCCTCCAATAGGATATTGGGTTCTGTAATTCCTCTCGTGCCATTGAAAGCAGATTCACTTATCTTTCTTGAATTTAAAATATGTGCCAACAATTACCACTACTACGCTCTCTCAACTCTGTAATGCACCCAGTAAAGAATCTTTAACCTTTATTGCCTCGTGCATTTTGTCAAATTCATCATAAAAAGAATAACATGGTAATATTCCAACGCGGACATCACCTTTTATTGACAAAAAAATAATTATTTATCAAAAAAAAATTTATAATTTACATTTAGATTACAGCTTAGCTTCATATTCTTCCAAAGCAGGTAATTATAATACATTAAGATGAACTTTTTTTTAAAAAAAGAAAAACTTCAATCATCTATGTTTCATCAAATTTCCTGTTTTTTTTTTTTTTTAATTAGTTTCATTGTTTTAATTTTTTAAAAATTATCCTTTTTAATTATTAAGTTACCATTTCGGATTGGATCGTTTAGGATGTACGAGGTATGATTTTGTTTTTAGTTAAATTTTTAATTTTTTTTTTGCTTACGAGTACGCAGCGATTAAACATATTTGAATTCCTTCTAGTGATCCGACCGACAGTATTTTAATCTAAAATTTCAATTTAAATATCGTTTAAATGGATTGGTAGGAAGAATTACATTTATCATGCTTATTTAAGCTATTTTAAGTTGAAACCTAGACGAATTTGTTCAATAAATTATGTGATGATAGACTTTATATTGTCGCATTTATTAAAGTAAAGGAACAGAAAAAATTATTTGTAGATATAATTAGTATATGGGTGAATCTAAAGTTATTTTCGTATTTTCCCTTGAAATAGAAGTATCTTTATTGAAAAGTAATGTTAATGTGCATTTAAAAAATTGGACCATGTTTAAGATTACGTATTAACAGTTTATGATTTAATTTTATTGCATAGTAAAAAAAAGAAGATTATGATAAAATAATAATGGGTGCTGAAGATTCAATTTCTATAGACATTACAAAGTATTTCAAATCATTAGATTCCTGAAAATTTTATTTTTTTTTTTATTTACATATTTGCTTTATTTTTTTGATTTGAAACTGTTACTTACCATTATTAAAATTATTGTATTATATTATTGTTGTGATTATTATTTTTTTTTTATATACTGTATAACTTTATGCCATAAAGAACTATTGTCAATAATCACCCTGTCACTAATCACAACCTTTTCTAATCACTCCTATATTAAACCCCCTTTATAATAAAGTTTTTCTCACTATTCCGTTTTAAGTTTAAGCTTTTTATAAGCATACATTTAGCCTTATATGGAACAATCATACATTATATAAATTATCTCGGAACCATTTTTTCAGAATTTTCATTTATTTTCCCCTTTCCCTTGACTTAATTATTAAAAAAAAAAAAAAAAAAAAAAAAAAAAATGTCGAATCAATTTATGTTTAACTTAAGCAAAAACTATATTGGTTTATTGGAAGATGATGAATACTACGACGTTACAATTGAAGTCGGCGAAGATCCCAATGTAAAAATATTCCGTGCGCATATGAACATTTTATGTTGTCGTTCCCCTTATTTACGAAGAGTTTTATCTTCAAATCAAAGGAATAATAATGATGTCCTGAATCACTTGAAGTTACAAAATATTGCTCCAGAAATCTTTCAAATTATTTTAAAGTTTAGAATTGATATTTTTCTTTTTCTTATTTGAAAAAATTTTTTTTTATTAATAGTCTTTTTTTTAATCTTTTTTTTTTTTTTGTAATATAGATTTATCTATGGTGGCGTACTTTCATTGGACGAGCAAGATGCTTCGGACATTCTTAAAATGTTGACGGCTGCTGATAAGCTCCTTCTTCAAGAACTAGTTGATTATTTGCAAAAGTATTTACTTGAAAAAAAATCCGAATGGATGGAACAGCATTTTGTCTAACAGGCTTTCAGTCGAGTAATTTCCTGGCACTTCAAAAATTCTGCACAGATTTAATGGCTGCATCACCCGAAAAAATATTTAAATCATTTGATTTTACGTCCCTTTCTGAAAGTGCATTAGTTTCGCTTATTAAAAGAGACGATTTACAAATGAAAGAAATTGAAGTTTGGGAACATGTATTAAAATGGGGACTCGCGCAAAATTCAACGCTTATCCCAGATCCCCCAACTTGGACAGATGATGATTTCAATGCAATGAAAATTACTTTACAGCAATGCTTACCATTAATCAGATTTTTTAGTTTATCGTCTAAAGAATTTTTTAACAAAGTAAGACCGTATAAAAAGCTTCTCAGATCTCAGCTTTATGAAGATTTAGTTAGTTCTTTCATGGACCCTGATAGTACACCAAATGAAGGTGTTTCAATTCCTAGGAATATTAAAATTGATGGAATTATCGATACAAAAATTGTTAGTTTCAATATTATTTCAACGATTTCAAGATGGATTGATAAAATTGAAATCAATAAGAATTTTTCTCATTTACATTTCCCTTATAAATTTAAATTATTGTTGAGAGGTAGTCGTGATGGATTTACTCCTAAAACGTTTCATAAGTTATGTGATGAGCAACCTTATACTGTCACCTTTATTAAAGTAAAAGGAACAGAAGAAATCATTGGTGGATATAATCCTCTCATATGGAAAATTACTTATAAATTGGGTGAATCTAAAGATTCTTTTATATTTTCCTTTAAAAACAGAGGTAACTGTATTGAAAATGCAGTTTTAAGTAATATTTGCAATAGTGAAAAATTTGCTTATAATGAGAATAATGGACCATGTTTTAGAAAATCTGATATTTTTCTTGGTTCATCAAATGTATTAACAAATTATGATGTAATTCATTGCAAAAAAGGTAATTATGAAAAAAATATAATGGAAACTGAAGATGAAATTTCTATAGAAGATTACGAAGTATTCCGAATAATTAAGAAATAAAATACTGTCTTTTGATAAAATAATAATATTTATTTAAAATTTTTAATTTTTATTTACATGAAATGAAATAACGATTTTTTTTTAAAAAAAAAAATACCACGTAAAATGTCAACACCGGACCTTTTTTTTTTTCATTTTGATTTACTTTACTACAATTTAGGTTGTCCGTTTAATCACCATGATTGGTAAAAAAATAAATTGGTCGTGATTTTATATAAATATCCACAAACGGAAGATTTTTTTAATCAAATCTTTTTCTTTATACTTGAGCTAATTTTACACGATTTAATTACGGATCTGTAATACATCAATAATAGGTAATACTAAGTATTGCATGATCTCCGGAAAGAATCTAAGTTCCATCAAGCAAAGCCTAGAGAAAATCCTCGAGCGCCATTTTCATCTCGATCCATTACAGTTCCACAATTCCGACAGTTGTACACCTCGGACCCTCCAATTTTGAAATTTTCCACACCAGCTACAAGTAACAGAGGTATGTAATGTTATGAACTCCCAATTCTCCTGCTTTGGAATTTATAATATGCCCAACAAAGCATTTGCCGAACTGTCATTCGTGTAATTTTCTTGTTTTTCTATTTTTCATATTTGAAGTTTCAAAAGGTGGAATGATGATAGCATCAAATTCACGAGTGGAAAATGAAACGGCTTTTCTATGTATTTAATTTTGCAAATGAAAAGATATTTTGCCTCATAAATGCCAGTGCTTTAAGCCTTATTTTTTTTGCATTTGGAAGATGGCCTATTAAATTTGCTTTTTTTTTTTGATATTAATTTGTCCATGTAGATGTAAGACGAACAATTTCGCTCAATGTCATGTTCACCAATCTTAGCTACACCTTTTGTTGGAGAATGGTGTTCTAACCCCAGGATCAATAGAGACTGCATGAATACCATCTGCTTGGGCTTTGTGAAGATGTTTTTGTATCTTATATATCCTTGCAAATTTCCACTCATTAATTTGGCGAAAATAAGTAAGTTTGCTATCAC